TCTACAAAAGGCCTGGATGAGAATTTTGAAGAGAAAAGTAACCAAATCGGAGAAATGATGAGTGTTTGATAAATATTGAGATTTACTTTGTGCAAAATCAATGCAAATCAATGCAAATAAATGCAAATTTATTGAAATTCAAATGAAATGAAACTTTTTTCGATCCAACGTCGACTTTAATACATTTCCCGTCATCATTTCTCACTAATCCTTTCCCTTTCACACATTGACATCCCTGCTAGCACTCACCAGTAAAACAAAACAGCAAAACTGAATAAAACTAAAGTTTAATGAGCTTTCAAGGAAACTTTCAAATTACGGCTAAATTAAAGTCTACAATCTAGGCTTTTTTTTGCTGTATGTATCCAATTTGTGATGTTAATTGTCTCGGAAAGCCCATTGAGTTACGAAGCCTGAACCTTTCCGTGAAATTTCCTCTTTACTGAAAAACTTTGCGAAGCTCGAGCACGATCTTCGTCCTTGCTTTCGCTGAATTCAAGGTGATTTTGAAACCGGTAAACCAGGCTTAAGCTTTTCTTAGTCCTAACCGACTGGGATCACTCCTTGAGCTAAAGATTCGGCTCAAGAGTTGAGCTTTCACTAACTCAACTCTTGAGCTTTCACTAGCTCAACTCTTGAGCTTTCACTAACTCAACTCTTGAGCTTTCACTAGCTCAACTCCCAATCCCAGCTTCAGCTTTAGTCTAACTTTTCTTGAAGTGGTTTACGAAAGCTTTCTCTAGAGTGTTTCTTTTCAAAATGATTTACAAAATGTTCTTTTAAAAACTCCAAAATTTAGGACTCTCGATGGTTTCTGGGGTTGTGAATGTGAGAAGGGATTCCTACGAGAAGTTGATGGGAAATGTGTGAAAGTCGGGGATTTCCCCGAGAAACTCAACTAAAATCTACAGATTTCTATTTGTAAATAAACTCTCGAAGCAAATTGAAATCTTTCTTATTTCCCCATTCGTCACTTTGAACATTTGGACGAGGAATTTTTTAAAAAAAGATTTTCAAGGTCAACAAAGAGCATGTTAGCTGATAAATTGGGAAATTGTTTACAGATTTTAATAAAATCGATAACTCTACCTATTTTCCGAATTTCTCATCAATTTTCACCTAAATGAAGTCAATTTTTGTCACCTTGACACTTTTGATCGTCCTCTGCTCACTTGCAAAGTAAGTTCATTACAAAAGCTTAAATTTAACTGCAATTTAAACTTTCTATAATATATTTCATACTATTTATTTAAAATACAGTAACTTATAATGATTTATAATATTCAGAGTGCTTAAAAACAAACCAGGCTCGGAAATACAGTAACTTATAATGATTTATAATATTTACGCATCTTTCCAGTCAAGTTTTCGAACCTTATTTTCAAGAGGTAAACGCTTTCGAGGTAATCAGACAATCGATAACGAAAAAAAACGATAAACTAGTGTTTCTAAGTATTTCAGCAATTTCAAGCAGGGCTGGTTCTAGGGACAAATTTCTGGGCCAGGCCGGGTCAGGCCCGCTGGGTTAACCATACTCATAGCGGGCCGGGTCAAGCCCGCCATGAGTATGGTTAACCCAGACCGGACTAAACCATATTTTCATAGCATTTATTTCTATGAAACATCTTCTAAATTCACTTTTAAGAACCCTATCTGTTGATAGTTTGAAAAAAGCGCTCGAAAAGGCTTGGGAAGAGCTGGATCTCCTATACAGTACTGGACAATGAAATATCATATTTGAAAAATGATCGTCACGTTCGCACGTCTGTAACTCCCTTGTCTTTGAGTTTAAACTATTAGTGTTATACATTTTCTGAAAGCTCTTTTCAAGGGCTACACAATGGTTATATTAATATTTAGAAATACCGTATTTTTTGACGCATTTCAGCGCGCGCAAAAGTGGCGATCGTTTTTCAAATATGATATTTCATTGTCCGGTACTGTAGTTCATTAATGCTTGTAAACACTTTAGAATGGTTGTTAAATGGTTGTTAAAATGTTAAATGGTTGTTAAATGGTTGTTCAAAATAGTTGACACTTCAGAGTGCTTAAAAACAAACCAGGCTCGGAAATTTCGGTGCTTTTTTTCTAGAACCAAATTTCTGGGTCAGGCCAGGATTAGAGCCAGGATTAGAGCTAGAGTTATAGACTAAAGGAGAAAGCCTGCAGCTATGCATTACTTTAGCATGCAACACCAACGAGGAATGGGTGGGACCATGCGCCTCAGAGTGTGAACCGAGCTGTGAGCAACCGCAAGTTGAGGTACGATAATTCAATTCAATAATTCTTCAACTTTTTCGAATCTCGATCACAATCAGATAGCTGCTCTAAAGCGTGCCCCAGTTACCGTAACCCAGGCATTGATTATCTTAAAATCTAGTAACCAAAATAGGAAATGCTTTAATATCAAAATTAGGCCTGGTTAGGTGTTGAGCTGGTTACCGTAATTCGTAATAGATAGAATCGGGAGTACAGTAGTTTTCTTAGCTTTCTTCTGTTTGAGGAAACACTCTAATCAAAAGCTACAGTATATTTCAGTTAGAAACTGTCGAATGTACTGTAACGAAATGTTTGAATAGTGAAAATGAATGTTTTTCAGATCTGTATTGAGTCTTGTTTTGCGGGATGTCATTGTAAACAAGGATTCGTAAGGGATTCACAAGAGAAATGCATCCAATTGACTCATTGTTAAAATCATTTGCTTTTCTTTGCTTTGCTGATTGTTTATTTGTTTCTTTTATCTTCAAATTTCTTTATTTTATCTTTCCTTTTCTTTTAAAAATCTCTTTTTCATTAATTTCCCTTCAACTTTTGCCTTCTAAAGCATTTCCAGCACAAAGTAATTAAAATGAATCCAAACAAAACTATAAAGATTACTAATAATCCAAAAATATCTAACAAATGATATTCAATAAACGATAAATGACGACCATAGGGATCCAATTGAGGAAAAGGACCTAAAGTTTCATTCAAATGTATTCTGTGGACAAAAACTCCAAAACACAACACTGGATCATTCAATTTTCTTGTTGTACTAGAAAAAAAATGCCTTTACAAGCCTTTAAACTTTACCATAATTGCCGGCAAACTCTGTGTACTTCACCAAAATCTCGCTTGGCGAAAATGGTCGATTTGTGATCATTTCGGCGAGCTTTTCAGCGTTTATCCTCAGTCTAAAAAGTCTACAATAACTTTTTAAAGTGATTATAGATCCTACAAATCTTGCAAATCATCAAAGCCTCACCGATCATCACTTATCAATCTTTGAATCGCTTCCACCAATCTCTTCTCCACTTTCAAATGAGCCTTATCGAAAACGATTGCCGCGCCGACTCGCTCCAATTGACCCGCGTTGCCGAATTGATCGGCGAATAGAGGAATGCACATTATCTAAAAAGGAAATGCTAGATTATTAGAAAAAGATCATTGAATCTTGATGATTGAAGCCCCATCAAACCTTCGTTCCACTACTCGCCACCTCTTGCAAGCTTCCCGCTCCAGCATGCGTAACAAAAGCAGTCAAACGTTTATCACCTGAATCTCATTAGATCAGAAAATCTTAACTGAATATAAAATTCTATCAAATTTGATCAAATTAGATCAAATTCTATTAATTTCATTGAGAAAACCGACTCAAAAGCGCCAATGTGGTGCCCAAACAACTGTGTGAACATTGTCCTTCAAAATTAGATTAAATTAGATTAAAATAGATAAAATTAGATAAAATTAGGTTAAATTAAACAAATTCTATCAAATTCTATCAAATTCTATCAAATTAGATAAAATTAGATAAAATTAGATAAAATTATATTAAAATAGATTAAAATAGATTAAAATAGATAAAATTAGATAAAATTATATTAAAATAGATTAAAATAGATTAAAATAGATAAAATTAGATAAAATTATATTAAAATAGATTAAAATAGATAAAATTAGATAAAATTAGATAAAATTAGATAAAATTAGATGAAATTATATTAAAATAGATTAAAATAGATAAAATTAGATAAAATTAGATAAAATTAGATCAAATTATATTAAATTAGATAAAATTATATAAAATTAGATAAAATTATATTAAATTAGATTAAATTAGATTAAATTATATTATTAGGTTGATGCATAAGTCTTTTCGTTTTTTTCGTACTTCTGTTAAAAAGTAACAAATGCACCAATTGAACTACGGTTGATTTCATTAGAAAAACCAATTATTTTTCTGCAAAATAACATTAAAACGGGTTTAAAAATATTTAATGCCTGGATTTTCTTGAGAGTATGAAGTCGGGTAGTCAAAAAGGGCTAACTCGATGATGCGGTTTAGGCTCAGGCTCAGGCTCAGGCTCAGGCTAAGCCTCAGCCCAAGCCTGAGCCTGAGCCTGAGCCCGAGCGGTTTAGACACCTTAGCTAAAGAAAACCTATCTTCGTGTCAATAGATAAAAGATAGAGAAAAAAAAGTTTGATATTTCGCCAAAATTTCAGAGAAATTCATTCAGCCAATTTTTCCGTAGAGTTTTTTATAGATTTTTACGAAAAAGGCGTTTTTCACTCTCGAATTTGCTTGAAAGTGAACCGAAATTCATTTAAAAAGATGCAAATTGAACAAAAAAACACTTTTTATTTAGAGAAAAGCATAGGTTAATTGGTGAATTTGTTACTTTTTAACAGAAGTACGAAAAAAACGAAAAGACTTATGCATCAACCTAATAAATTATATTAAATTATATTAAATTAGATTAAATTAGATGAAACTATATTAAAATAGATAAAATTAGATAAAATTAGACTAAAATTAGATTAAATTAGGTCAAATTCTATCAAATTCTATTCATTTCATTGAGAAAACCGACTCAAAAGCGCCAATTGTGGTGCCCAAACAACTGTGTGAACATTGGCCTTCAATTCTCTCAAAATCGGATCCTCTTGATCTTCGTATTTCCAAATGAACGTAATATTTGAAAAGCTAAATCGAATATTGAAATTCAAAACACAAATCCTCACATATTCATCACTTTGATCAGTGTTTCCTTTGAGATTCTCGGCATATCCACCGAGCGAGCCATTGAGCCGAATGAGATGAAAATCGTATGAGCTCGTTGATTTAGAATCTCATCAAATTCCTGAATTTGATCTGAATTTGATCTGAATTTGAGCTGAATTTGAATTCCTAGAAGGAAATCGATCTGATACTGTATTTTCTCGAATAGCTGATATCAATTTCTATTTAGAATTCCTCACCTCATTCAACTTTTCCCTCTTTTCCAATCCTGACACTGTTAAACCACCAATAAAAGCAATTTTCGAGAGTTTTGGCTTTGGAAAATCGATTAATGGCTCGGAATTCGGTAAGAAAAATGAGGATTGAATGACGAGTTCCTGAAATTGGAAATTTGAACTGTAAGTTTTCTCGAAATTTACCCGAATGCTAGGAATTCGGGATCATTTCTTGTTAAAAGATCATCGAATGGAGTGTAGCCACCGTCGAACAGAGGTCTACAATCGGAAAATCAGCTTGGCTTTAAGAATAGATTCTAAAGGTTGACTCTAAGAATTTGGCTTTCTAATGAAACAAATCATCGTTTAATTGTTTAAAAAAAAGTGACGATTTTCCCCACTTTTCAATCATTTTTTCTAAGCGCTGGCTGATGCTAAAAATATGTGTTATATCTCGAAAAATTACCCATTTTCTGGACATTAATTTGATACCAAAGCGCGCAGAAGCAAATGTCTGCGTGTCGAGATATGAGCGGTTCTTTGTGTGTAAAGTAGCAAAAAAGGCGATTTTCCCCACTTTTCAATCATTTTTTTTCTAAGCGCTGTCTGATGCTAGAAATATGTGGTATATCTCGGAAAAATTACCCATTTTTCTGGACATTAATTTGATACCAAAGCGCACAAAAATAAACGTACTAGTGTCGAGATATGAGCGTTTGTTTGAGAGCATACTTAGACGACGCAACGCTCCTATAGTGGGGTCACTTTATTCCAGCATTACGTGATGTATCTTCTACTTTACTCTTCCTTGGTCAAGCCAAAAATTGCTTTTGAAACAATCTTCTAGGTCCTGGTTTACCTACCGTAAATACCGTAAATACTACCCCACCCCCATAATAACGGTGCGGAGCATCGCGTAGTCTAGCTTTGAACGAGGTTTTCTCGACACTGGTTTATGCTACACTGCGCACTTAGGTATCAAAAAATAGCTGAAATTCAGGGCTATTTTTTGATACCAAAGACGCATTTTTTGGAAGTACGGGCGCTTTGAAATAAAATGAAATATTAAAAAACTTTTGCGACTACGCGACTATACGAAGGGCGGTGGGGCACTATTACAGTATTTACGGTATGCAAAATAGATCTAATCTTTTTCCTAAACCAAAAATCCTTATTGAAAGCTCTACTTGAAAAGCTCTCCTCCTCACCAACTTTTCCATTAAAGTATACACAAAATTCATGGCTCGATCGTAGAAAGACATTCGCTCGTTTTTCCTTGAGAGCATCGCTGGAAATTGACTAGAACAGTTAAAAAGCTAAAGGAAAGAGAAAAGGCTTTTCAAAAATTTTTAAATCAACCCTTAAAGGATTCTCCATTCTAAATCTATTGTAAAAATACGATAATTGACCTTTAATTTCACGCCTCTTTAAGCTAAAGTATTGCTTTTCAAATGCTACACGAGAAATCTTTAAATGAATCTTGAGAATAAACAATCTAAACAACCTGGAGCATAACTAATCGCATACGGAGCTCCGAAAATCGTCGAATAGGTCATGCCGGGTGATGTTGAGAAAACAGTTAGGTACTTCTTTAAACCCAAACGATAGAAAAGACCTTAAAGTAGAGTTTATGCATAAGGTAAGCTTTAAAAAAAACTGATTGTAACTTGGTTAAAGAATTTTAAACACAGCTTTTCGATGATTTTCTGGTGTTGAATTTTGTATTTTCACTCACCATATCCACTCCATTCAACGGGTTGTGTAATAGCTACATCAAATTGAAGAGCTTTCAAGCGATTCATCATCATCTCGTCCGTAATTATACCTACAATTTGATAAATCTATAAATCTATAGTTATCTTTCGTTTTCTAGTTAGCTTTTCGAATTTCTTACGTTCCAATGAATCCAACGCGGCCACTCGAAGCAGATCGATGTACTAAAGAGAACTGTTAGTAAAGAGAACTGTTAGTAAAGAGAACTGTTAGTAAAGAGAACTGTTAGTAAAGAGAACTGTTACTAAAGAGAACTATTGCTAAAGAGAACTGTTACTAAAGAGAACTGTTAGTAAAGAGAACTGTTAGTAAAGAGAACTATTACTAAAGAGAACTGTTAGTAAAGAGAACTGCTAGTAAAGAGAACTGTTACTAAAGAGAACTATTGCTAAAGAGAACTGTTACTAAAGAGAACTGTTAGTAAAGAGAACTGTTACTAAAGAGAACTATTGCTAAAGAGAACTATTACTAAAGAGAACTGTTAGTAAAGAGAACTATTACTAAAGAGAACTGTTAGTAAAGAGAACTATTGCTAAAGAGAACTATTACTAAAAAGAACTATTACTAAGCAGATCGATGTACTAAAGAGAACTGTTACTAAAGAGAACTCTTGACTTCTACTTGTTCCAAGGAAACTCAATTCAAAGTGTATTCCAAAGATTCTACACCGGAAAGAGCGTCTTCATTAAGCATTAAGCGTCTTCATCAGTTTTTCATTAAGCACTCACTTTTTTCGTGACCCAAAAATCGGTAAGCGTTGTCGTTTCCCATCTCGCCGAACCGCTTGAATCAGATTTCTGTGCGGTGAATAAATGAATGATGAATTTCGAGCGTGGCACTTCGATGATCTAAGCTTCCTATTTCAATTATCTAGTTAAATGAGATCTTTGCAGCCTCATCGAACTCACTTGAACATTCCTATTAATCGGCCCCTTCGCGGCGACTTTCTCGACGAAAAGTGGCTCCAAGTAGGTCTAAAATTCTGAATTAAAATGACAAAATAATAGACAAAATGATAAACAAAATTGGCAGGAGATCTTCCGTGACCGGGAAAAATGATTCGAAATTCGAAAAAAAACAAAACCCAAGTCTACTCACCACTTTATGGCCAGCTTCACCTAAAATGTCGGCCACGCGACTCATAAAATTCGTATGCGAATGGCCGAATCTCGGCGAATAAACCAAGACATTCAATGGAGAAATAAAGTGGAATATTTGAAGTAAAAGAAGAAATTTCAAAAATAGAGGCATTTCTCGAAGAAATCACTATTTTTGGTAGTTTGTTTGTTTGTGAGTCCAAAGGTTTATCAAATCACGTTTTGAGTGATAACGAAGGCAAAAAAAAAGGATGAATAGAGCATAGAGAACAATAAGTAGTGAATGGAAGGGAAATGAGGCGAAAAGGAAACATTAAAGTATTGAAAAAATCGATTTTTCAGAGAGATTTTATCGTTGCAATCTTTAACTAAACTTTACGGTAGTTTTCCCCGTCTTTAATGGCAATTTATGAGTAAATTCACGAAATACAAGCAGCCATTTGTTTGACTAGATCGATATCGATAAAAATCATCCTATTTATTAAGTGAAAAATGATTGCGGTACTTTTGATTAAAGCACAATATTGAAACTATTTTAAGGATTCGCCTAGTTGTCTAGCAGTCAAAACAGCCTAGTTTGCCGTCTTTAGTATAGCGATTTATGAGTAAACTCACAAAAAAACAAGTTAAATGTCATTTATGCCCAAAAGAGTCGGTTCGAATCTTTGAACGAGAACAAAAAAGACAAAATTTATAAAATATAGTATTTTGAAATAGAGTTGTATTTGAAAAGAAGAACAATCAACTTTGCAAATCCAAAAAAGCGAAAGACGGCTTAGTTTTCTGGCCTTCTCGCTTCTCGTCGACGACATTGACGCGGAGGAAGGCTGGCTCGCGGTGGGTCGGCGGATGAGCGATGAGCGGTGCGCCGAAGAGTTGCTTTTAGGCGGCCATCTCGTCGGTCGGTAGGAAGTGTTGTGCGGAAAATCATAAAAATTATCATGATTTTCGAGAAAAACATATGTAATATTTACATAACTATCCCAAAACAGCGCCGCCCAAAACAGCGCCGCCCAAAACAGCGCCGACCAAAACAGCGCCAATGCAAAAACGCCCAAAACAACAAAAATTATTTTCTAGATTTTTGCTTTTGCTTTTTCTTTGCTGTTTTTAACTTTTTCTGTCCACTTTTTGTGTTTTTAGGGTAAAAAAGGCGGAGAATCCGATTTTTTTAAGCTTTACGCATAGAAACCTGCGATAGCGTTTATTAAAGTGATTTTAACCAAAAATCACAATTTTTTTTCCTTTTACGGCCTGTTTTTTAACGTTTTCACTAACTTTTTATTTTTGTAGGTAACAAAGCAGCCTGAAACTGAACGAGGCGTTGCTGCATACTCATCATCGTCGTCTTATCATCACGGACCGACGTGTTTGTTAACATCGTTTTACGGTTTTTTAGTTATTAATCTATTCTTCTAGGCAGAATGACAAGCCAAAAAGGACGGTCACTGATTTACGACTCAGATGGATTCGAATATCGAAAGGACAAAGCACTTAAATGCGGTGTACTTTTGAGTTATAGGTAAGGGAAGTATAATTTATCTTGTAATACCCAGTTCTGTTTCTTTTTAGGTGTTCAAAGGCGAAATGTTATGGCCGAGCCCATCAAAACAAAGCAACCGGCATTCTTACGGTCACGAAAAATCACGACCACTTGCCACCAGAAAGCAAAAAACAGGTAGATGATCAAGACATTGTTGCTTGTGTGATAAATGCGTTTTTAGATTCGAATTGTGTTCGAAGATGTTAAACACCAAGCAAAGATGGGTGTCCCCGTCAAAGAAATTGTACGGCAGACGATAACAAACAGTCCACCCGACGTAACACGCCTACTCAATGTATCCGGTTTGCAAAAAAATGGCGAGGCGACAGCGAGTAATTCCTGGCGCAAAAATGTGGCCAAGTCCGATCGATGATGGAAAATTCCGTACGCTTTTTAAATGATTTATATAGAAATTAAAATAAAGGTACAAGGTTTCTACGTTTCGACACTTGCGATGCGTATACATCTTGGAATGAAAAGGCAATGAAAGTCTTCTGGACCGATTGGGGAAAACAACAATTATTGCAGGTTAGTTATATATTTGTAAAATTTTTATTATACTTTAGAATGCCATTTGGTCCTGCGATGGGACATTTGCTTCCGCGCCTGCAGGATTTAAACAAGTCTTCATTATTGGCATCGAGGTTGGTTTATTTTAATAAAAGCCCAAATTTAAGAAATTTTAGCATGAACATATGTTTGTTCCGTGCGTGTATGCATTTTTGAATCGAAAGGATGCTAACACCTACAAGGAAGTCTTTGGCTATCTTCAAGCAGCTGGCATACCACCTCCGCACAAATTAAAAACGGGTTGGATTTAAATATATTTTGGTTTTATGATTTTTTTTCAGATATGGAGCTGGCGTTGTACTGTGGTTTCAATCTTGCCTATCCCCACTCTGCAACGAAAGTGCACTATTGTACTTTTCATTTTTTCAAGAGCGTTTATGGAGCTATTCAGGTTTTTAATTATAAAAGGTTAATAAGATTGTGTTTTAGAAAAACAACTTGTCTGATGTATACCAGGATCCTATTAACAAAATCTTCGTTCAACGATTAATGGTTCTCACTTATGTTCGGCCGATCGATGTCAAGACTTCTTTTCAGAATCTCGTCAATGATGCCCTGGTTGCTCTTTCAAGCCGGAAGAATCATTTGGTGGGTGAGTCTTCTTTTATATGATGGAACTAAGCACATTTAGTTTTGTTCGACTTTTTCGAGAAGAATTATATCGGTCATATGTTCATCATCGTTAGTGTTATGTTTCAGAGCCTCTTAGACTATTAATTTGATACTATTTTGATGTTTTTTATGCATCGTTTAATTGTTATCGTTTATTGTTGTTGGTCATGTTATTTTTAAATAAATTATCAAAATTAAAAGCTGCTAATAAAAAAAAATGAATTGTACATTGCAAAAGAAAAAAAAACTTTGTTTTGCATCGGCGCTGTTTTGGGCGTTTTTTTCATTGGCGCTGTTTTGGGTACGGCGCTGTTTTGGTCGGCGATGTTTTGGTCAGCGCTGTTTTGGGATAGACCCAAATTGATGTTTAAATATTTCCAAAAGAATTTGGTTAAATTTGAGTGAAACTTTCAAATATTCGTTTCAAACTGAAATTTTCGCGAGAAATCACCCACTTATAAGGGGTCTCGGCTTGAGGGGCGGGGTTTGTCGCGGTTTTGTCGGGTTTTCATTGCCGATGGCAATCTAGGGTCATGGGTATGACTCGGGTTATGGGGGATGACCAGGGTTATGGGGATGACCTTGTGCGTACCTTGTGGGTCATGGGTATGAGGTCCGACTCTCACTTTCTGACACATGTGGTATGTCAATTTCTTAACTTTGTCTAATTATAAGTTTAAGCTTTTTATCTAGACCAAACGCATACTTCAGAATGAATGGACGAAATTCAGGTCGATCGTTGAGTGGCTCGAAGATGCGTTTTGGCAAATTGATTGGAACCGGGCAAAATTTCTAAAAAGTAGAGTATTGTAAAAAAAAGCAAACAGATTGGTAGCGTACCCTAGAGAGTTTCGCGTATTTCTCCAATTTTGGTGGCGGCTCATACGAAGTCGTTGGTTCCTCTTCGAACTAAAAAAAGAGTTAAATCGTTATATGAAAATTTCAACCTCTTCCCCGCTGTCATTCGCTACGCTAATGGCTTCCATATCTGAAAATATTTGAAAGAATTTTCAAACGTAATGGAGCTATGCAGAGCTTTAAAAATGATTCATTTAAAAAAATATCTACAAATCTTCAAAATGTGATGTGTTTTACTCTATCCGCGTAATTTTCAGCCGACTCAAAAAAAGTTTCTCTAATTCTTTCCAACTTCCCAATCCAACAAGGTAACGCTTGGTAAACCGCAAATTTCTTCAAAACATATTAACATATTTATTAGTTTGCACAAAAAAAAAACAAAAACAGGCTGTGCATGTGAAAGAGATGCTCTTGTCACCTAAAATTTACTCAGGCGTTTACTAAGTTGTCTGCTAGTTTATCTACTAGTTTATCTACTAGTTATCTGCTAGTTTATCTACTAGTTATTTACTAGTTATCTACTAGTTTATCTGCTTTAGGCGCACGGAGAACATCAGCCGCCATGATCCTTAACAAAAATTTCTGCTTTTTATGACCCCCATAAACGTTGTGTGCAAGAAAGGAGCTGAGGACGAGGACGAGCTCAGAACGTACAGGTCAAAATTTTTCCCTTTCGCCAAGTTGGTTTCTTCCATATTTTCATCAAGCAAATTTCCCCTTATTAACCAATAGCTTTGAATATTAGAACATGAGAACAAAAGCGAATCATTTCACTCTAAATTGAACTAAACAGGATCTTAATAAGTCGACGAATGTCACAATTTGTCTTTATCTTCATTTTTGACTCACAACGCTAAGCATTTCCGTAGATTGACCGGGAAAATTTCAAGTTTTCAGCTTTAAGTCTCGACACGGATCTAGTTTTTCTTCTTTATCTTAGTTTTTTTTTCCATCATTTCAAATCCCGATTATTAAGAATATGCGGAAGAAAATGCCTAGAAAAGGCTAAAAATCAGTGGATTAAAAAGCCTCACTTGTTGGCTTTTTGGGTGGCTTTTGTTGAAAATGCATTTTTTCCATCTTCTAGCCGCATTTCTTTCCCTCGTTCATTTGGGGACAGCAATTGCAATTGAAGTGCGGTGAGTTGAAAGAAATTTTGCTAGCTTTATAGTCTAGCGTTAGAGAAATTTACCCTTAAACTTTCAGCCATCATATTCGGGATGATTTGGCGAGGAAACGTTTCTGGCCTCTTTGTGCTGCTGCTTACACAAATCCGACGAAATGCATTGATAAATGGTTGAATGCTCAGGGTGAAATGAGTAATAGAAAGAAAAATAATGAATAGAGGAAGTAAAGGAAGGAAGGAAAGAAAGGAAAGAAATTCTTTATCTTACATCAAATGCTTTATCAAGAAACAAAGAAACTGAAAACTAAAAGAAAGTAAAGTAAAGAAAGTAAAGTAA